CTAAAGAACAAACCAAATCTGCTGATTTTAAGTCCAGCTCTTTCCCTTTCAAATCTCTGAATTCAATTCCACAAGAACTGTTTTACATGAAGACACAGTATATCCACATGCACAAACATTTCACAGAATACTTACTATTTTTAGAAGGTTGGTCACAAACCAACCAAATTGATTTTATAATCCATTAATAGGTTCCTATACAATTTGAAGCATGCTGTTCTATGCTAAATTAGATGCAATTTAGCCAGGATGGATATAAAGGGAAAAATGTGTTCTTTTGGGGTTTTTTGGGGGGAGGGGGTAGGGATGAGAGGAAGAATGGGACAGACAGGGAGAGAGAAAATCCTGAACAGGCTCCAGGTCCAGCGCTGGGCCTGACACACACTTTATCTCATGACCCTGAGATCCTAACCTGAGTGTCAAATCAGGAGTCAGACACTTAAACAATTAAGCCACCCAGGCACCCCTCTTCTGTACAGTTATTACACATCTTAAATAGCTTGTGAGTAGAGATAACTTCTACCTACTAGTCAATTTAGTGCAAGATTAAAGCAGCATACTATTTAACAGGTGGAGGCTAGGCACAATGCATTCTCAGCTTCAAAACTAAAGGGATAGGAGTACAACTAAAATATATTAAATATATACTGTGTGCCTCATTTATTAATCTATAAGATTTTGGACAGCACAATTATTTTATTAAGCAAGTCATAAAACAAAAGACTAGAAATTATTTCTTAAACATTCTATATAAAAACCATAATATTTAAAATTATTTTATTCTATTCTCCCACAAAGAAAGTTTCTTAACAATGAATACAGATTTAAATTGTTTTACTATTTATAATAAGCAAACTCTACATGAACACTGATTTGCACAGCCAATATAATGCTTTAAAATATTAGCAAGATAGGGCTCCTGGGTGGCTCAGGTCCTGATCCCAGGGTCCTGGGATCCAGTGGATCAGGATTCCTGCTCAGCAGGGAGTCTGCTTCTCCTTCTCCCTGCTCTCATAAAATACAAAATCTTAAAACAACAACAACCAAAAAACCAAAAACTATCAAGATAGAAATGTAGAATGTAGTGGGGCTAGGAAGCATCCAGGATCAAGAAGGCTACGTGGAAGACCCCGTCATTCACAACAACACAAATGAACATAGAAGACATTATGCTAAGTGAAATAAGCCAGACACAGAAAGAAAAAAATGGCATGATCTCACTATTACATAAAATCTAAAGTCAAATAAGACAGAAGCATACAGGGTAGTCAGCAGGGGCAAGAAGGTGTGGGAAATGTTAAGGTATTAGTCAGTACAAATCTGCAGTTATGTAGGATGAAGAAGTCTAAAGTTCTAATGTATAGCATAATGACTAAAATTAATACTACTGTACTGAATACTGGAAATCTGCTAAGAGTAGATTTCAGGTGCTCTCACAAAAAATGGTAACTACACCAGATGTTTTATGTCATAATCTTTTCACTATGCATACGTATCATCAAATCATCATGCTGTATACCTTAAATATATACAATTAAAAAAGGCCATGTGAAGAAGCTCCTATGATTACCTTAGTATGAGGTACTGAAGGCTAACAAGGGTGACAAAGGCACACAGAGGCTTTCTAACATCCAATTATCCTCAAGTCTCTCTGGTTCTACATTCTAAACTTCCTCTCACATTTACCCTCACCATCCCCACTCCAAGTGCCTTAAGCAGGCCATCACTTCCTTTTTGCCTTGTAATGCTCTTGAGTCCCTCTGTCCATGATGTGGCCAATGAGTTAAGATCAGCTGTTTGTAAGTTATCACAAATGTAATTTGCTACTAATAATAAAGTACTAAGTTGTAACTTGATTGTTAAAAAAAAAAGTTCCAATGCAAAGTTGCTTGCTCATTTTCTTTTTTCTTTTTCTTTTTAAAGTGCTTGCTCATTTTCTTTAAGTGCTTTGATTGGCAAAGAATTCCAAGGAAAGAATAGTCAAGTTTGATAGCTGAAGAGCATACAAATTCATTATTCTATAACATCAAAAACCTAGAAAGGACAGTTTCTAAGGTTTATTCCTTCTATCTGAGACAATCTCTTCCTAGGAAAAAAAAAAGCAAACTGTCTCTTAGTGGATAGCTGACCCAAGTCTACATAATATATAGTTCTATTAAAGAGTTTAATATACAAATCGTCATTAAAAATACAGCTTAAATTAAATCTTACTTACATCCTTTTGGCAGGTTGTTAGGAGTTGCCTCCATAACACAACTGACCTAACCAATGACCTTACAAACTCTGAATATTAACCCTGGCAAAAAATATAATGGAACCAAAGGGTGTCTTAAAGAAAGCATAAGTTAGGAATGTGACTATGTCACCCACATCCAAGATCCGGCTCTGGTCTGTCGCAAATGTTCCCGGTTTAATAATACAGCTACTAGACCATTGGAAATCTTCAAGATTCTGATAAACACATACTTGAATACAATTACAAACACCAGGGAAACAATCCAAAGGCCCCATACTCAGGCAATTTTTGCCTAAGATTAAATGCCACTGCAAAACATTATTTAGTTTTTTAAAACATATTGAGTTTTCAGAACTTAATCTAAATGATACCTGTGTGTGAAGCAGCCCAGTCACAACAGCTAATAAAAAAGCTCTCTCTCCTCTTCTGTAACTACTTATTATTGCTTAAGTAAAAATAACTTTCTTAACTCCTAATTAACATAAGTCTAACAGGATAAAAATGAAATCTAGTTTTCTATGAAGAATGTACCAGAAGTGATTGCCTAAATAAGCAACTTTCATATACAAAAGAATTCAACATCTTCAATTAAGAACAATGTAACTGAAACAACCCAACATCATTTCCAAAAGGTTACCATACAGACCTCCAGGATATTCTACAATATTGGCGTTATGTAATATAGAGCTGGAAGGATCTGTAGAAATTATTTACCTCTCATTTTACATGTATAGAAAGCTGTTTGACCTTGGGTAAATCAATACACCTCAGTAATTTTCCATATTTTTAAGGGGCTGAACCAGATGATCTTTACCATCCTAGTCCTAATATTTCTCTAAAAATGATAAACCAGGGGGTAAAAAAAAAAAGATAAACCAGGTTTTATTGCAACAAATTATGCAACCACATGTAACTATAAGACCAAGAGATACAAAGGAATTTACAATGCTGATCACCTATGTTGTGTCAGGCTTTATTCCAGTACCTCATTTAATACTCTAAATAACCTGCAAATGCTAGGTTCTTTGGGGGAGGGGAGGCTTCTAAATCTATTGGTGTTTAGATGCTGCAAAAACTCCACTTCTGCTCTTAAAGAAAAAGCTAACCAGGAGGTCCTTTACATGCATTAGTAACAAAAAAGTGACAGCTGATCTTAATCCAAACAGGGAACTTAGTGCAATCAAGCTAACATGCCCTACTTTTTAAAAAAAAAACTTGATATATGAATTTTGAATGCAGAGTAATAGAAATGTTAGGACCTGGGAAGGGCCTTAGAGATCATATAGCACACCCTCCTCAATTTACAAATGAAGCCAATTAAAATAAAAGGTTTTGTCCATTTTTCACTCAAATTAAAATAGCGGCCATAAGTAGATGTGCAGTCTCCTTTCAGATACATTACCTCAATTCATGAAGAAGCCTGATAATTTGCCTAACAACACATATTTACAAGAACATCTACATGGCTAATTTTTTTAAAGATTTAATTTGCCAATATTATTGGTTAATGTATCAGAAATATGGATTACTGGCAAAAGTGTCAGAAATATGGAAAGTAAACTCCGTCTAAACTTTGTCTCACGGATTAAAAGGAAAGTATTTTTTATTCCAGACCAGTGGCTGGCCCATGACTAGTGTACAATAAAAAAGTTTGTTGACTTAATGTGCCAACCCAAGGAAAAGTATTACCATCACTGGCAATAAAATCTTAAAGTGGCCGGCTGAAAAACAAACTACGCTTTAAGGGGATGCGACTTTACATGGTCATATAGACATGAAAGAGCCTCAGCATAATTCACCGCAGCCATTTTTTGATGACTATGATCCTACAGATAAGCAACTCTTACACTTAAAAATGCTAGGATTCCCCAAATAATTTGGAAGGAACAAACCTAAAAAAGAGACTCAACTGGCTCAACAAAGTATCTGTAGCATTTAGGTTGGCAATCAGGGAGGCTTTAGGCTTAGTCGTAATCTCATACACACAGTAACTATCGCCAAAGCATTTGACCTCTCCCTACCCCCAACTTTCTCCTTTAAGGAGACGAAGAGCAGAGGGTGCACAAGAGGACTGGTTTTCGAGAAAGAATCTGACCCCAAAGGCAATGCCGCTTTGTACGCATCTTGCAACCTGGAGAAGCTCGGGAACCAAGAGCGAGGATCCTACAGCTCCAGCGGTGAGCAGTGAAGTCTCCCCGCGGGTGCCGGGCGCCCTCCCCCCAACCCCAACCCAGGGCCAGGGCCAGGGCCCACCCGCGCAGCGCGGGCGGGGAAATCAGCTCCCCCAGGTCCGAGGTGGGGCGTGAGCGACGTGAGGAGGCTTCGCAGCCCGCGCGGCAAGGGAGGAGGGAGGAGGCGGTCCCGGCGCCCATTTTGTCCTCGGCCTCCGCACCTCCGCCCCGTCCCCCAGGCCTAGAAACCTCCGCGAGGCCTGCACCACGTTCCTTCCCACGGCCCCGTATCCCGGACACGCGCTAGGCCGCGACTCGCGGCCCCAGTCCGCTCGGCCCCCCCCAGCCCCGCCCGCGGCTCCTCCGGCTTGCAGCTTCTGCCCCAGCCTTGCCGCGGCTCCGCGCACCCCATGGCTGATGTCCAGCCCCAGCTTCGTCCCTCATCTTCCCCCGCTCCGCCGGGCCTCAGCCTCCTCAGCACTCCCGGCTCAAGCCTCCTCCCCGCTCCCCGCCCGGGCTTCGCCCTCTCCCTCGTTCCTCTGGCCTGCGCGTCAGGCCTCGGCCCCAGCCTGCACGCCCTGTCTAGACCGTACCCCCCGGCAAACAGATGCACAAGCGTGTCCCTCTGGGTCATTCTCTCTTCCGCATGTCCGAGCGCTGAGGCGGGACGCAGATCCGGCCACCCGCGACGGCCGGCAGCTTCCGTCCCGGTCTGGAGCCGCACGGCGCCCCGGGGACTGCGGGGGGCCGGCTAGCGGAGACGCGGGTGCAGGAAGTAACGGCGCGGCTCTCCCCGCGGCGCTGTAGCCGCGCCGCCTCCTGCTCCAGCTGGGCGCCCGTGACCTGGGCGGGAGAGCGGCGCGGCGGCGGCAGGGCGAGGCTGCGTGCGGGGGCTCTGATATTCCGGTGACCTCCGACATAAACAGAAGCTTCCATTGGCCTGCGCTGCGTGACGTCAGGCGGCCGGCACGCTGCTTTCACGTGATCGCCGAGGGATTTTTTTTTTTTTTTTTTTTTTTTTTCAATGAACGGGACCGTGAGGCAGGGCGGAGCGTGTGTCCTGGGGGTAGTAGGTCACTGCGCTACTGCATCTAATCCGGGCGGGGAGGCTGCACCCGTGCCACCTGGGCCCGGCCTGGCAGGCTGACGGGAGCCCCACGGCCCAGCCCAGACCACGTGAGAAACCGTCAGGACTCCCAGTTCGCCAGCTTGCGGGTCTCTGACCTTTTTTTTTTTTTTTTTAAGATTATTTTTTCTTGGGGCGCCTCAGTGGCTCAGTGGGTTAAGCCTCTGTCTTCCGCTCAGGTCATGATCCCAGGGTCCTGGGACTGAGTCCCACATGGGGCTCCCTGCTCGGCAGGGAGCCTGCTTCCCCCTCTCTCTCTGCCTGCCTCTCTGCCTACTTGTGATCTCTCTGTCAAATAAATAAATAAAATCTTTAAAAAAATATTTTTTTCTTAAATGACAGTTCTAGGTTTACAACAAAATTGATTGGGAAGTACAGAGATTTTTGCATTCATCCCCCGTTTGATTCACTTTTCGAAAATTGGACTTATGGCATTTCTGCTTCCTAGTATCTACCCTAGGTAGTGCCTGGGAAAGACTTTTACAAGGGTAAAATGTTTATAAACAGTGCTTGTAATAGAAAATTGGGGTCAGTAGGGAAGGGAGAAACAAATCATTGACGGTTCCTACTGTGCAATGAGCAATTGTGACAAGGAGTAAGACAGATCCATATGGAAAAAAGAAACTCTAAGGTATAGTGACAGGCAAATAGAATTTAAAAACTAACGTTTGTTTTAGAAGAATGAAGAGAATTAAGATTTACTAGTTCTTCTAACCAGCTAATGTGTTATATATACTACATAAGTCAAAGACTCAGGGAAAGCAAATGTTTTATTCAGAACACAGTGACTAAAATATTTTTAATTTTATTAATTTGTAATTATTTCTCAGTTGCACAAAAGTACAGAAAATAATAAAACACATAATCTGTACTCATTACATAATCTGTACTCACCCTGAACAAATGTTAATATTTTCCACCTACTTGTTGGGTAACTTCCATTCCACCTGGAAGGCCCTCAACACCCTTTCCCACCCATGAGGGATTATCCAGGGCCTCCCTTATTTTCCTTCCAGGGCCATGCTCTTCATGGAGTCCTCCTTGATTGCCTCAGCTCTCTGTGCTCTTCACAGACCCCTAAATTCCTACAGAATGTACAGGCTGGATGTTGCTGGCAAATGCCACTGTTAATATTCAGCTGTAAAATGAGCATACGAGTACTCCACTTACTAAGGTAGTTGTGAGGACTAAATGCATTAAAATGCATCGACAGCAGTGCTGTATAAGTACTACTTATAAAAATTAGTAGTATTATTTTACTGTCTTGTATTCTTAACAGAACTAGCCGCAGGGGGTGAGGGGGTTGGGGGGTAGTGGGTGAGTGCCTGGCTGTGTGAGTAGGTAGAGCATGAGACTCTTGGTTTCTGGGTGGGGAGTTTGAGCTCCAAGTTGGATACAGAGATTACTTAAAAAAAAGAAAAAAGCTAAACAAAAAATGGCAGCTGATATTTCTTCAACACTTACTTATATGCCAAGCTCCAATATAAGCGCTTTACAGCACTTTCTTATTAAATTCTCACAACTACCCTGTGGTAAGTAATATTATTGCTCAACTTTCCATAAAGAGCCTAAGGTGTAGAATAATTAAGTAACTTACCCAAGATTAACCAGTTCATTCAGAAGAAGCTTGGATTTGAATCCAGCAGTATGTGTCTGATTTCAGAGCTTCAGTTGTTAGAATAATAACTGCCCATTAGAGGAGGGAAATTTTGGACAAACAAAAAACAAAAAACAATAAAGCCCCAGAAAAATAAAAATAAAAATTGCACTCAGCTGTACTACCCCAAAACCATTGTATTAGCATTTGGGGACCCCTTCTTTTTTAATAGCAGGGGTATCATTGGGGGTATCTTTTACATGCCATCAGCCACCTAAAGTGCCTAATGTAGTGGTTTTTTGTATATTCTCATAGGAGTACAATCATCACCAGTATCTGATTCTAGAGCATTTTCCTCACCCAAAAAGAAACCCTACATTTGCTAGCAACCGCTTCCATTCTTCTCTCCCCCTGTCTTCTGCAACCACTAAACTACTTTCTCTCTTCCTGGATTTGCCTAATCTGGACTTTTCATATGAAAGAACCATAGAGTATGTGCCCTTTTTGTCTGGTTTCTTTCACTAAGCATAACGTTTTCAAGGTCCATTCAGGCTGTAGCACATTCCCTTTTACAACTGAACAATAATATTCCATTGTATGGATATACCCCATTCTGTTGATCTAGTCTCACCTGATGGCTCTTTGGATTGCTTCTTTTTTTGGCTCTCATGAATAATGCTGCCACAAATGTGCCATTTGTGCACAAACACACATTTTTAATTCTCTTGGTAATATGCTTGGGAGTGGAATTGCTGGATCTTAGGAGAAATCTATGTTTAACCCTTTGAATACCTGCCGGACCCTTTTCCAAAGTGACTGCACCATTTTAGATGTATTTCTTTTAAGACAATAGCTCTAGCTCCCTGTTTTTGACATAGTGAATGTCATAGTAATTACATTTAATGAAGCTTTTAAAACTGCTAAGGAGGGAGCCAGAGTTCTTATGTGTAAGGATATTCTTATATCCCCAATGAGCAATAACAGATCATTTGTGACCCTTTCCTTTTGAACTTCCTTCAGATGCCATCGTGAAAGGAGACTCTGCCCCCTGTGTGGTCTGCCTGGTACCTCATGGGGACCGCCCACTGGCCTGTGGTTGCTGAGGTCATCATTCTTGTGGAGATCCAGGGTTGGGTTGGTTGTCACACTTACTGAAGTTTCACGGCACTGCTATCCGCCTGCTCTTTTATAACCCTACTTCTTCACTCCTGCTGGCTAGAGCACATCCTTCAAGACTAGCGCAAAGAGGTTTCTTGAGCTGCCAGGTGCTTTTCCAGGAGAAGGATGTTAAAGCAGGGTGAGTGGAGCTGAGACGTCGCTTTAGGGTCAGGCACACCTTCACCTACCACCCTTCCCTCTCCCACCCCTACTCCTGCCAGGGGTCTTCTGGGAGTTGTAGTTTTTTGTTTTTTGTTTTTTGTTTTTTTTAATTAAATCTAGAAAGAGAAACTAATGGGGAAAGGGTGGGCACAACTGGATGCTCATCTCAAAACAAATAAATAAGCTCACTGTGAAGTAGAGGGGACTGCTATTCTCTGTCCTGGTTGGTACTGACCTTGAATTTTATTTGCTAATGGGCTAAAGAAAAGCTTTTAGTAGCTATTTGTGGGGGAGTGGCGCATAGATGAAACACTGATGCCACCCTTCCCACACACTTCGATTTTATTAGTCTTGGAGGTGCAGAAAATTTGTATGAGTTTCAAGCTTTGGATTAGCAACATTAGTTTTATTATTATTATTATTTGTAAAGTTTTATTTATTTAAGTAATATCTACACCTAACCTGGGGCTCATATTCGGGACCCCAAGATCTAGAGTCACCTGCTACTCTAACTGAGCCAGGCAGGCGCCCTGGCAACATTACTTTTAAAAGTTTGGATGGGGGGGCGCCTGGGTGGCTCACTGGGTTAAAGCCTCTGCCTTCGGTTCAGGTCATGATCCCAGAGTCCCTGGGATGGAGCCCTGCATCGGGCTCTCTGCTGAGCAGAGAGCCTGCTTCCTCCTCTCTCTCTCTACCTGCTTCTCTGCCTACTCGTGATCTCCGTCTGTCAAATAAATAAATAAAATCTTAAAAAAAAAAAAAAAAAGGTTGGATGGGATTAGTTTACAACCCCAAGAGGCGTGTGCTCTCCTAACTGAGCCAGTCAGAGGCCCCAGGATTGTTGTTGTTGTTAAATCTCTGTATCTTCTTAGCTATTTCAGTGGGGGGTGGGGTGGGGGGGTGGGAGAGATTGTTTTACATTCTCTTCACCAGATGCCATTTTATTTATTTATTTTCCTGGTTTGCTTTTAATAAAAAGTAATAAATTCAAACAATACAGAGGTGCAGGAAATAGAAATTATAATCCTCTCCATTAAATCAAATCAAATCAAATCAAATCCTCAACCTCCCTTCCTAAATCCCACTCCTCAGAAGAGATCACTGGGAGAAACAGAGCAAGGGTGCTCCTGGGTACTCTGTGCATGATGGCAGGCCTCTCAGAGTTGATCTATACGTCCTCATCCTGTGCCAGGCACTGTTACAGGCACATCACATGTATTTACATTAACCCTCTATAGAACCTAATGATGTTTTTCTGTGCATGAAGAAATGGAGATGCTGGGAGGTTAGAGGATTTGTCAAGGGGACTCAGCTAGCAAGTGGCTGAGCTGTGATGAAAATCTAGGTAATCTGACTCCAGAATCTGTAAGCTCATCCTCTGTTCTGTACCATCTCAACTGTTTTTTGGTTGATGGCAAATATTAGCCATGGTTACTAGAGAAGCACAGAGGGTGGGGAGCTTTTGAAGGGTGGGGAACTTATGAAGCTGTGGTGCCCTGAGGATAAGTGTGCTCTTACCTGTGAACCCCACGTGGAGTCCAGAGAGCAGCTGCTCTGTAATGCAGGTTTGATCTCCCATTGAGCACCCCTTCCATCAGCCACCCTATGTATCACATTCAGGGATAAAAGGTTCTTCCAAGATACACAGGTGAAAGCAGAGCTGGGGCTGGGGATAGATAAGGAGATTAGAGAAGTGGATTTTATGCAGAACGAATCAACAGTTTGCTTGTAGGAAACACCATCC